AAAGAGAGAAAAGAGTGTGTGAGTGTGTCTTGTTTATTGAGAGTCTAAGTGTGTGTGTATGTGTCTGTGTGTGAGAGCTATTATTTATATATATATATATATATATATGTATTTGTATATGTATATGTATATGTATATGTATATGTATATGTATGTGTATAACTATACATGTATCCAGATATATGTATATTTATACATACACACACACATATATATATATACATACAACCAATTATCTGTCGTTCACTGTAGATTGAATGTGACATGCTAAGGTCTGTCGTTCAATGTGAATCGAATGTGGCATTCTCAGTTTTTAAAAATCAATCAATCGTATACTATGCTTGTTCCTATTCTGTCACGCGTATAATACGCTAGGTTGTCATAATTACCTGGCACTGACTCATAATCCAGAGCCATGCTCTTTGTAGAGAAGATATGGGTCTCTTCACTATACTCGAACGCCGCGGCATGGTACTGGACAGCAATTTTTAGATGAGGCTCGGCCGGTATCAGGTTTAAAGCCTATTGTTGTGTATAATTGTGCAGTGGGATACTACAAGCATTCTCTGCATGAAGTATGGAAATACAACAAGTATAATCGCCGGTGAAGTAAACCTAAAAAGTCTTTCCATATGTAAAATACCTCTATTTTCGGAGAAAGAATAGCCAAGAGAGAAGTAAGTTGTAATCGAGAGAGGGCTATGAGAGAGTCCACTAAGATATTTATTACTATGTACATAAATAAGTAAATAAATAAAATTATTTCTTTCACTCAAAAGTTTTCTGATCTCGAATTCTCGACTCTCTGACTCTCTGTGTGTGAGAAAGGAAGAAAACCACAGACCAGCTGGTACAGAACTATTTATTTGTTTACAGATTTGAGATTTTAATTTCTTTCACATATTTATTTTTATTTTTGCGAGTTTGAGTCTTCGAGTCTTGAGATTCAGAATGCGACACGTCGCGACCGTCATGTCGCAGTGTCGCACTATTTTCAGACGACATGTCGCGACAATGAAAATCCGAAATATACTTTTTCTCCCCGGGACAGCCCAATTTTTGTCCATCAGTGGATTATATCAGAAAACTACCAATAGAGAAATTATGTATTTTGTATTGATTTTAAGTGATCTGCACCTCACAGGCTCACAGTCTCACACTCATTCAGAATGGACCAGAATAGACCCATTAAAAATCACCATGAGCCACCCGACGTCAAAAATTACGATGAGCCATCCGATATTTAGACGACATGTCGCGACCGACTTGTCGCACTAAATATATTTAGACAACATGTCGCGACATAAATACCAGCTCAGGATTCAGGATTATGAGATGGATTTGAGAATTGAGATTATCAATTAAATATAGAGAAAGAACGCAGTGAATAGGTTGGAACTTGGGTGTCGCCGTTCTCATCGGTGATCGGCTGGCCTGATATACGACAAAGCCATGTCTGCTTTTAGCAAACTAGTTTCCACTCGCGACGCCTTCTTGGGAGAATATCATGACGTACATATACTGCACTTCTGACTGTAATAAAAGACATGACGTCCGAACATGGCGAAAACTCCTGTCTTAGCCAGCCCAGGTCGGACTCCGGAGTGCCTATGGTGAGCACCAAACATATCTGTATTTCATTCTGTGTCGCTGTGTCGGAGAGACGGAGACTACCGAGACTTGGAGAGTAAATATTTGATAATTGTTTTTTAAATAAAATAGTAGAATATTTATTACAGATCAACAGCTCTGGAGTCTGGAGCCTGGAGTTCTGGAAGTCTGGACTTTGGACACATTTTTTACGACGACAATATATACATAAATATTTATATTTCGCTGTGTTGTTGAAGTTGGTGTGAGAGAGGTATTTAGATATCTCTCAGAAAACCACATTGTGGTCTCTGCCTTGGCGTCAAACTACTCTGGTACATTATGGTCGGTGTTGAACAGTTGATGTTTGCATCTTCTCTGCTTCTTTTAACTTCATAGATGGATCATTAAAATCTTGCGACTCCATCCATTTAGCTTTAGCTTCATCTCCGTTATCGGCGTGAATATACTTAAAATACACTATTGTTATCAAGAATATCAATGCCAGCACCCCTGCCCAGGTGTAGTTTTCCACAACCAGAACATTGGCGGCGTTCGTGATTTCAAGGCCTAGCCAAATGTTGTAAAACGCGACTAATAGAATTGAAGCACCGAACAATTTGTGAACAATCTCCCAGACCCAACGGAAGGCGGATCTGCTGTGGCCTATACTAGGGGGGTGTGGACGGATAGCAGCGTTGAGTGGTTGTAACCACATGAAGATCATGACCACCAGTCCAATAATATGGTGGCTTGCTGATATATGGTTCCCAGGCGCAACCAGTAGGAAAGCTAGACCGAATCCAACTGTCGCGAGGATTAGTCCGAAAGAGTTAAAGCAAATATGTATCATAAGCCATTTAGTCCCATCAAATTTGGAACGCCATATGGAGGAAAGAATAGCTGCTGGTACAAGCAACATCCATGCCAAGGCCATAAGAATGCCGTGTGCATATTGTGCAGCTATATTGCGAGTGAATGTGTTGTTCAAACCATTACACGTGACCAGGTTAAGGGCAGCCGACCCTCTGTTCGTACCGTGGTAGCCCAGGTCGTTCTCTCCCCATGCCCAAATGATGTTCGTGTCATCGCTTTGATCCAACCCCAGGGCAAAACTACTCAAAACAGTGAACGTGAGGATAGTAGCGCCGTTGGTCTGTGTGATAGACATGTTCGAGGCCATATTGACTGCTTGTGGTGTGATGCCACTTGAATCACGGTCCGTCAGGTCATACGTAACCACACTCTGGTCACTGATTTGTCCAATTACCGCATTGCTGACCACCATAAGCCCTGGAGATTGACCAAAACCGATGCTAAACCATCCGACTGTGTCACTAATGGATGCCCTGGCCACTAGAGTCTGAGCCATACTGTCGACGAACCAACTAAATGTAATCGCATCACTTAGTGAAACCTCAAAATCAAAGTTAGGATCTGAGCTAGCACATTCAGGATTACCGATCGCCATGGGGTCATCTGGATTCTGACCGACATCGGCGGCCTGAGCACTGGATAGCAATACTTGCTGACCTGCTCGATTTGTTCCGTGGTAAGCCAGATTATCAATTGCACCCCACGCCCAAACGAGTATATTGTTATCCTCTTGCACCACCGTGTTGTTACCGAACTCGAGTGGAATTGTGAATCGCAAGACGGCAGTGCCTCCAATGCTGGTAAAGCTACCATCAGTGACCGTATTTTCTGCCGATTGCGAGACGGTCGCCGGTGTGTATCCGTTTAGATCATACATAACTGCTGTCCCACCACTCGATCTCTGGCCAATTACCGCAGTAGACCCGGCCATCGTGCCAGGTCCCAAACCTAGAGCTAGCCAGCCAGCATCCTGTTGTAGTGTTGCTGTACCTTTGAGGTGTGTGTTGTTTATCGTGTACTCGAAGAGTGGTCCGTTGTTATCAAGAAAGATTCGATTCACAGGGGTTGGAGCACCGATTTCTGCTACCTGAATACTCGATAATACTATTGCTTGGCCGGCTCTGTTAGTACCGTGATAATTCAGCGTATCGCTCGTACCCCAAGCCCACACAAGAATAATACTGGTGTCGGGTGTGAGAGTCTGTGCTCCGTATTCTAAAGGAAGAGTAAAGCTGAGTATGGACGACCCAATATCAACCATAAACGAACCATCAATTACTTCGTTATTTGTGGATTGTACCACGGTATCGGCTGAGCGCCCATTCAGGTCCCAGAGCACAGCCTCGTTGCCGTTTGCTTGTTGGCCGATAATTACAGTGGACCCAGGCATTGTGCCTGGCCCAAATCCAACACCGAACCAACCAGCATTTTGAGATAGAGTGGCTGTAGCCACCAAGTGTGTGGAGTTAATGGAATACTCAAATAGAGGGCCATCGTTATCAAGAAAAATCCGATTAGTAGGGGTTATTCCAACATCTGCGACCTGTGCAGTCGACAACATAATCTGCTGACCTGCTCGATTAGCGCCGTGGTAAGCGAGGCTCTCGCTCGTGCCCCAGGCCCAAACTAGAATATTGTTGGCGTCAGGTGCCAGTATCTGATTTCCGTACTGTAGCGGAAGTGTGAAGCTCAGTACGACGTTTCCGTCATTGACCACGAATGAGCCATCAATGACTTCATTGCTTGCGGATTGAACCACGGTATCAGCTGAGCGCCCGTCAAGATCCCATTGTATTGCTTCATTACCGTTTGCCTGTTGGCCGATAACGACTGTAGATTCAGGCATTACGCCTGGCCCAAACCCAACGCCAAACCAACCAGCATTCTGAAACAGAGTTGCGGTAGCTACTATATGCGTAGTGTTTATTGCGTACTCGAATAGAGGTCCACCGTTGTCTAAAAATACTCTATTAACTATTTGTGCGCTTGTCAGGGTGATACAAAGCTGCAGCAGGGTCAATATTTGTGCAATCATATTGCCAGAGCTTTATAGTAGTATGCCAGTGATTGTTTCTACAACACTTATAAGATAAATTGCCTTTGAATTTGAAGGGGCCCTTCCTGTCTCGTCAGTGGGATTAGGCGTACAGTCAGAATATGATTTCATTGCATCCTCCGCGAGTGCTTTTATAAACAGTTCATTTTAAATATACACGCTTTCATGTTGCCTACTACGTATTTCTTTTTACATTCAACTTGCTGCGATAGTAGATTATTTCAAGAATTAATTTAATTAAGAAACGAGAACGATAAAGTATGAACTCGCTCTCTGGTATAGTTGCAAGGCATGGAATAGTGTAAAATTCAAACGGTGGAATACGTATATAGATTACATACCCTCAAAAGTAATTTCTTGACTCCAAGTCATTGTCGGGATAAAAATGTTTTACTGAGTTGGTACTTGTAAACATAGGTGGACTGGTGGTCTGAGTTTGAACTGCAAATCCTGAAGCACTGAAACAGTGAAACGTGTCTGAAAGTCTGAAACTCAAAGAAACTGAAAATTTGAAACTCGAGGTGACGGTGCGATTAGTCATTATATTGGTCGATAGCATATATTTGGTTACTTTTCATTGGTGTACTGTATCAATTTGCACAACACACCCGCTTCAACAATCAACCCTGAACACAATTGTAAATTAGGCAAAATAAAAAGTGTGGAACGTGGCAACTAGCAATGACAGCAAACGCCGAACATATGAGTTTCTTTTGTAGTCGACCGGCTCGACCCCCAGCAACGACAAAAAGATGAGTAGTAGTAGCTACATAACAAGAAAAAATGTCCAAAGATGCTTTCGTATTTTAATACAGGTATCCTCTGAATGATAAATTTTAAGGATTTTCATGTCTGCACTACACGGCGATTCGGTTTCCATGGTACGCTGCAGTGAACAAGTACGAGATCCTAACTTTACCATACTCCAAACGACAAGGCATATATAGTAGTTAACAGGGTTAATTGGGGACTCAAATAACCAATTATTGCTACAGAGTCTTACTAGAGCAACGCAAAAAGACTTTTTTACGACGTACTATGTATTCGAGGCATTCAATACTGATAATTGCGCTAGTGTATATGAACAATCATATCAATCAGATCAATGCACAGTCAGACAATTTTTGCATAACATTAATACAAACACTCATTCGTAATGCTCAAAATAATTAATTACAAAAGACAGATTCGAAATAAAAAAGTGAAAACTTAATGGCATGCATAGTAGCACAAGAAGATATAGACCTATACACATATTCGTGTATGTGTAAATCTACTTGACATATTCATATATAT